ATATATATTATAATAATTTATAGAAATAGCTTCACAATAATAATTATGTATAACCTACATTGCAGATAAACCTGTAACCCGCAACAACGGTAGGTACCTATGTCAGCTGTACCTATTGATAGAATTAAACTCTCGACGTTTCAACTCCCGAGCCTTACATTTAATATGATAAGTATAATAATACCATCTATTAGTAAGAATTTAAAATGTATTATCTTTAATTGTATAGTTTGCACCAAACAAGAAAATACATGTACGTTCCTGTAGAAATGGATGATTGTTCTTTGTATGATCAAATTATGTATTATCAAATTTTTTCTTTTGTATTATACCTACATAATAATACCTATTATATTACAACATACTGAAATAAACAAAGTTAAAGTCAATAAAGATTTATTTAATATAATCCATTATGACTATACTTACAACTTACAAGAGGATGCCACACCTATAGGTATGTATTGTCTTCGACCTACACGTATGACATTTTCGTCCATCACCAGTTTAAATAGTGTACTGTTACTCTGTTAGTTTAGTAATTAGAGCGAAGTCAGTGAATTGACTTGTCATCAAATTTTTAGCCTTTAGGTAAGAACATTATCTGCGTTCTCATGTTGGTTTCTTATGATGTTTTAAACTTTAAGTGAATTTTGAGTAATATGTGTATTTAAAATATTAATATTTTAAAATAGGTACGTCATTTGGAGAAAAAGGTTGTGCGACGGCATTATGCGGTGCCTCTATAACTTAATAGTAGTATTAATCATTCTACTCCATTGATAAATTATTAAATAAATGCCTTTCTTCTCTAAATAGTGGTGATAGATGACTTAAGTTGCTTATGAGCTTTTAAATTTAAATTTTAAATACATTTGATTGCTGGCTATTTTAAAAGTACATTAGATGATCCGAGTAATTTTGATTATGATAGTAAAAAATATAATAATATTAATATGCATTTATATAATATATACATATATAATGAATTTTTAAGCATACTCACCCCCATTTTTCCTTTAATATTACATATTTTATTTAAATTCTGATTTTTTAGAATTTTTTAGTAGATATATACRTATTTAAAGGCCATATTTTGAAATGCGTGATATTTTTCAATTGTTGGTACTGCTTAAGATGTGTTTTTTCAGCGATACAAACTTCAGTTTTTCAAGACCCCCTTTTTTACTACGAATTATTCAGCGTTTAATTTTTCTTGAAAATATTGATGTTTTGAAATAAAAATTACAATATATAGTTCCTGAGTTAGGTATTAATGCTTATTGCTTTTAGATACCAGCTAATTTTTCTGTCAAATCTACCCATTTAATTGTAGTTGGTCCGATTATTGTATATTATTATTGAAGCGTTAAGACTTTTGAAAATTTATAATTCAACTTGAAGTCTACTTGAGATCGGCCACATAACATTTTTAGTTTTGATCTCAATATTCCACAAATTTGATCTAAATGTTTTGAAAAATAATAAACCTTGTAGTAGTGTTTAAAAAATATCATTAAAAAAACTGAAAAAATGGCTAACTGACCAATCATAAGCACCTAGTAGACTCACGCTGAACTCAAATTAAATTTCTGAAGTGTTGTCGCATTAATATATAACTATCGGACATGATTGAAGTAAAATTGTACAAATCTTGAATAGTAATTGTTTTAATCGAATTGTGCGTACAARTGTCACTCACATCAATGAATTATACGGATACGATATTACGATGATGAAAGGATGTAAAATAAAAACAATACCACATTTACATTAATGTTCGTTTACAACGTGTAATAGAGAAAATAACTAGAAATTGCCTACCTGCACTCCTTAATTACGGCCGGTACCCAGTCGTCTTAAAACGTTTATATAATTTATTAATGGGCAATAATCCTTAAAAATGATTAACAAAAATATCAACTTAAAATATAATATTAGATTTAGTATTTTTATATTTGAATCATTTAAAAAATTTATATTGATAGATCAGTAGTGATTAGTTATCACTAGGGAACGGATTTGAATGCAAATTGCATTTTTTTCTGAATGTCCGAAAACATTGGTTTACAAGCAAAAAGTTAATTTCATACATCAAAGAATTAAAAAATGTAACTTTTATTTTGCATTTTTAAGACTTAAATGCATTTTTTAAAAATTTTTAGTGAATTTTGTGGTTTTTAAGTCATTCTTTCAACATTCATTCTAAAAAAAAAAATAAAATACATATGTCTTATGTCACGAAATTACGAAATTATTGTTGACACGTGTAGACACAAAATATATACATACAAGTTACAACAGATTATTACCCACATTAAGGTAAAGATAAGAGATTAGATACGATAAACTATTTATCTGAAGTTAATTAATTAAGGTTGTATTGTATTTAAATATTTTTTATTAGATTTTTCATAATAATGTGTTTTTTTTAAAAGTTTTAAATACAAAATTTTGTTTTTATTGAATATAAACCCATTTTTAAAATTTTTTAGTGCATTTTTTGATGTTGAAGTATTTTTTTAAGGCATTTTTCTAGTTTTTTAGAGCATTTAAATCCGTTCCCTAGTAATCACTATTATTTTCAATTCATGTAAGCCCCCATATCTAGTTAACCCATTACCATACACACAAGCGGGTTCAATTTTGTATTGTTTGCTTAATYAATATTAGAGTGAATTGACCTATTATCAAAGTTAATGTTACAATATTATTTGTGTTCTCTTGTTGGATTTTACAATATAATGGACAGTGAATGTCTTAAGAGCTTATGTTGGAAAATCAAGATTGACATTTGAAACTTAACCGTGTAAAACTGGACATCATAATATTATACTTATGTAGTAAAAAGTTGTCTTATTATATTATATTATTACACAAATAAGTAAATAACATATGTTTGATATTTTTTAGTAAAAATATAATGTTTTATTACAAAACTATTTTTCTTGTTATTGTGCTGTACTTATCTAACATAGTTTCTGATTTTATGTAACCYCAACATCCCACTTAATATTTAAAATGGACATATCAGTTCAAACCATTGCTTATAGTAACATACTTGTTTTCAACCAATTTTTTTATCTGTTATATACTAAAGAACTGCATCCTCATGCTACAGAACTTATTGGAATTGTAACTGCAATTTGAGATGTCGATTAAGTTAAGAAAAGTTTATTTTTAAATGGGGTTTTCAGTAAAATTCCTAGTTGAGATAAAGAATTCATTCTTTTCTGATTTATCATATTATTTTTGGTTATATAACAGTGGCCAGTAAGTGCTTTAGTAACCCTCAGTTCTTTATCTCAAGTTTCAGATATCAGATCAGAGATTTTTAACTTTTAATAATACAACTAATAAACTGGTGTTTAATTATATATTATATACATTACACACTGTGATGGTGAATGGTAATATTGTTGTCAATAATTTATTGTTGTATATAGGTACAATTGCGCAACACCATCTTTGAAGTGTTTTATTATTGTATACTAATAYATATTTCACTTTAGATTTTATTACTTTAAGTTTATCATCCCCTAAAGWTAGAATAGATGGTTTTTCATTAGTTCAGAAAGTAAATATGTAATTTACTAATTTATTTCTAATAAAATAGAAAAAAAAATTTAAAAAACAAATATATAATAATAACAGATTATTGCATGTTAATAGTATTAAGCWTAAAACTATAATTTAAAAWTTTTAAATTGTATTGTATTTAAACTTTATTTATACATTAACTAATTCAGAAAATAAGTTAGCAACCACATCATCATCTTCACGTTTTATTATAGTTTCTGATGTTTCAATAATTTTTTCATAATTCCGAGAATCTTGTGGGATAGTTATTAAATCTTCAATGTTACTTATAATATTCAAAGAATGCAACCAATTTCTGGGAATTTGTTCAAATAAACATTTTCTAAACACCATRCAATGTAAATGAGTAAGTTTTTCATATTTGATACGCCAAAACCCTAAATTACTTAATGATATTTTCCAATTTTTCATTATTTTGGAATTATATGATGCATGACTAGAATCAGGGGTCACAATAACTAATAAACCACCTGGTTTAAGAACCCTATAAGCTTTTTCACAACATTTATATCTTTGTTGTGGCAATGGAAAATATTCAAGAAATAAAGAAAATACGACTATATCAAAATTGGACAATGGTAATGTTTGACAAACATTATCAATAATATTTAACTTTGTACTCAGAGGTACTGTAAGAAAATCACATTTAACAACATTGTTAATAGCTGGTGCAATATCTATTGGCAATACTTTATATGATAAATATTTTTGAAAAGGATTATAACAACTTCCTACATCAAGTAGATAAAAGGGATTTTTAGGCATACAARTAATATCATCAATACTCCAAAATACATTAAATCTTTGAGCTAAAGATTTTTCTCGGATTATTTCATGAATATAATCTTCTTGAAAATATTTTAATATATTGGTTGATATCCATGAGATTCTACAAATAGAAGGTTCATTTTTGTTATTTGTATCCCAAAACTGTGATGCAAGCTTGTGCATAGTATTTGAATAATTCTAAAACATATAAAAAATAAATACACAGTATTAAATAAAGACAGATTTTAAGTATTTAAAGCTTTTKTTTGATTGAAAAACAAAAAATCTAGTGCATAAAAAAGTAAATATCAATTAAGTATTAATTGTAAGTATGCAAAACAATTGTTTTACTTTTAAAAGTGAATCGTCTGAGCAGTGATTTCGCCATGCTTCATCAGCGCCTATTTTCATAGAGCTTAATCTTAATTTTAGATGACAATTTTTAATAAATTCTGCATGTTGTATGTGCTTGATATTTACTTGCTTGCGAGTATTTTTTTTTCCTTTTTTGTCAATCCTAAAATACATTATTTAATTTATTCAAATATTTCAGACAAGATGTATGATTTTAAATTTAGTGATGCATACATAAGGTGAAGGGGTTTGGGTAGTTTTAGGTATCCGATCTAAATGGGGTTTTTTTTATAATGTCAAACAATAAATGTATAAACAATACGAGCTACAGACCAATTAACCATAGATTAGTATAAATAGGATCTAACTTAACTACTTAGTTAGTAGTTATTTAATATATATAATTATATTAAGGCTCTAGGTAGAACTATAAAATTAAGATAACCATAAAATATTAAAAATAAGTTCATCACACAATTTAATTAATAAATGTGGACAGGCATAAACAAAATTATTGTATAAACCCTAATATTTGTCATAATATGTATCATAAATATCATGACGAACATATGACTTTCACAATTTTTATCTTATTTACTATAGATGTACAGAATACTTACGGATTTGACATGTTTAACACCTCGTTAAGTTTTCATGAAAATTATAGATATAATTCTTTAATTAATCTTCTACTTTTTCATAGTTTATATTTTAGTCAATAAAAATAAATGAAAAATGTAATAAAATTACATTTTTATAAAATAAATGATAGATAAACTTAAAACTATTAAGTATTAGGATTTCAAATTTCCACTTTGATAGTTTTATTTAAAAATTCTTTGATCTTTAGTAAGAATCTATTTTTTAAGATTACCTTTAATCGAAAACAGGTATGAAAGGGATCGATTTATCAAGGAATCAATTATTGAATGTCTGGAAAAACTGTTAAGTTTAAAGAATAATAAAATTAGAAAAAAAATATACAAAATCTTAATACACTAAACCCCTAAGTCCTAACCTTAAACGGCCTTCATCGTCACATACTCACATCGAAAGCCACGACCTCGGTCTTCATTTCCTAACAATACTATCATAGTCATATAAATAAATATAATTCTGTCGTTCTGTGATACCACTAAATATACTATCTTTGTGATTATAATATACCAACGGGTATGATATTCATGATGGCATATTATTATGTCTATGGATGTTGGTATGATCATGTATGATATGGGGTACGTTCCATACTTCAATCAGACCGGAGTGTTCAGACCAATGAGATTTCGCCAAGTCGTGTTTGGATTATAATGCTAAAACAGTAGGATCCTATTATTGTTATATAGGTATTTGATAAGTTCAAAATTCGTGATGTGTCTTTAAAATATTATGTTACCGCTTCAATGAAATTAAAAGATATTAATCGTCGTTCGCGGATTTTTAAAAATATCAAAATAAACTTAATTAGCAACTAGTTTGAAATTTAATCACTATTTTTGTCTCTAGTATATTTTTATTTTTAAAAATTAGTAACTTGACATAATTCTGAACATTGTTCTGTAAAATTTTGTATGACAATGGATAAACACATATTGTTCGTATGTGTATTTTTCATTGTTAATGTATTTCAAGCACAATCCCGTACATTTACTGAAGAAGATTGTCCTGGTAAGTAACYCAATATTATTTYGATTATGTTTATATGAAGTAATACCTAATTTTTAATAAAYTGTGTTTATTATTAATAGTTTGTGTGCTAACAATTGATAAGTTTTCAAAATCACTTGAAGGCGAATTGAAACCAAAAAATATTGAAGAAAAATTCAAGAATTATTGTTTATCTACAAAGATTGACAAGGAAAAAAGATTAGTAAGTATTTAAATAAAATATAATTTCATCTTATAGAATGAGTCAACATTTTTAGATGTGTGGTTCTCTCAATTATGGAAATTGTATTTTCCAAAATTTATCTCTACAAAATTATTTTTGTTTTCTGGGAGAACATGTCTGGTATAAGCAGTGCTTAAAAAGACAATCTACCAACAATCATTARAAATTTAAAACATCTTTTATTACTCTAACAATTTCAAAACATTTGTTCAATCATAAGTGATATTATTATTTYCAATCTTCAAATGCTAATGGTAAAAGATAGAAAGTAGCCTCAAAAGGAAATAGTAATAGAGTAACTTATCATAGTAAAATTTCTCAAATTTAAGCGTCAGTAATAAGTGACTCCTTTTCTCATAACTACAACAAAAAATAAAACAAATAGGAAGTGGACATTTTATTGAGTTCTAGGATTGATTTTTTTTTTAAATTGTGATGATGGCATTTGTGTTTAATATCATCATAACACATCACTTCACTAGTCTAGTTCCAATGAGCTTATTGTCTCCATTATAATACTATGTAATGCTTTTATAATTTTTACAATTATTAATATACTAGGTGATCTAATAAATGTCTCCTCCACCCAATAATTAAAAAATGTTCAACTTTTCAAAAATATTCTTTTTCTATAATTTATTCCCCTATATTATAGAAAAATAAGTGTTGTTTTATTTACTGTTCATAATACTTAATTTACATTTACGTAATATTTCATTWCATTATTTAAAATTCTAGTGTTACTATTTGGGTGGATTAGAAGATTCTGCAACTGGTATATTAAATGAAGTATCTAAACCATTATCATGGTCTATGCCAGCACTTAAAATCTGCGAACGCCTAAAGAAAATGGATGCTCAAATATGCGATATTAAATTTGGTAAGTTAGAAAAATTTTATTTTTACATTCATAAATGAAAAAAAAAACAACTATAAAAGTTCACATAAATATTCAGTCAATTTGCTTTAAATACAAACTTTATTTTATTTTAGACAAAGAAATCGATTGGAAAACAGTCAACTTAAAGAAGATGAAAGTAAAAGATTTGAAGAAAATATTGGATAACTGGGGAGAAATATGTGATGGTTGTTTAGAAAAAACAGATTATATCAAGAGAATTGAAGAATTAAAACCCTCTTACGTCAAGGAAGAGTTATAAATAATACAAATTATTATTCCATGCATTGTATAAATTTGCTAACTTTTTTAATACAATATTTGTTTTGTGTTGTGTTCCATAATTTATTTAAGATATAAAATAAAGGGCTGAAGTTATTTAACAAAACCAAACAATCTTTAATAAAAAACGTCTTAATTTTATTTAAATTTTAAATTTATTATTTTTAAATTTATTACATGATTAACACTTCTTTTACTTTAATTTTCTTATAAAATGTATTACTTAAAAAAAAATATTGATATTAAAATAGATGAGATATCCGATCAGTCGATTTACAATACTTCCATTGGACTTTGACTAAGGCTGTTGTCTGCATGAGAAGATAACAAAGATGACACTTCTTCATCCATTTCTTGTAGGTTTGAATCTTCATTTT